TAAAGTGGTAGTTAAACTTGTGCAGAAGCCTGCAGAGTTTGCTTGTCAGCCTTGAATCCTATTGCACTAGAAGGATTGCTGAAGGATATAGAGGATTTTTTAAACTCTGTTAATTAGATTTTGGTGGGGGGGAGGGGTTTACTATTTTATTTTTTTTCTTGAGTTAGATGTAGTGAATGAAAAGATTTTGCTGGAAATAATTATTTTCAAGTAACGAGGCAATTGTGGATATAAAACTAGGCCCATTTTTGTTTATAACAATCCCTGTTATTGCCCATAACTGTTGGCTTTGAATTACAGGAGACAATTATTTTCAATTTCATATATATTATGGAACTAAGACCCAACTACCAAATCCTTTTTTTCTATTTTATGACAGCTTAGTTGCCCTAAGAAATGGTAATTTTAAAAAAAAATCTATTTGATGAAAGATTTATATACTGAAGTTGTTTTCTGAAATCCATTTGCAGGCAATTAGTATCCTAAAATGGTAATTAAAATTATGTATGATATTGTAAAATCTCCACTCAGGACAGCATACCAGGCTGAGCCTGTATTTACATGGTAAAGGAACAAACATGAGCATTATATCTATTTGGTCCGTTGTTGGTGCGTTCTTTCTTAGATCCAGTTGCATTAATGCCCAATTCACATGAGCTGTATGAATATTCAAGTCATTGCTTGAAAAAACAAAAACAAAGCTTAAGCTGATTAACTATTCATACTTACTTAGTACATTTAGAACTTACATTTCTTCATCATGGAATGCAAGTCAGCATATATAAGAGTTCCAGATGGGTTCCCATTTGGGCACTGGGTACACAAAGAGCTGCTTAACTTTATCTAAGTCATTATACCTGTGCCACCAAATCATGTTGTGAGACCCAGCACATGAGGTCCATCACCCTACAGCCCATGCAGTTTGCAAACCATGTCCAAGGTTTATAAAACAAAACAAAGAAGACATTTCAGTATCTCCAACGCTTTATGAATATTAGGACAAATGGCATATTGGTTAAGGTGGTCATGTAGCCCCTTCCAGCTAGCTCAGTTTTGTCTAGTTTAAGATCTAGTGTTTGTTATTTTGGTCAACCATCTTCTTCTTTTTATATGTAATTTTTCCTTTTTTATTGATCAGCTGCTGCCCAGAGTCATAGAGGAGTCAGGCAGCCTCAAAATTTAAATTTAAAAAATTGCACGAAGCACATTTTTGCTTATTACTGGTCGTTGTATTGTTCCAGAAAAGGCATGAACCGCGATATGCAAAGTTGAAACCTCTTCTTTTCATGATGGTTCCTGCCAGAGCCTTGCATAAGTAGTTGCTGTTTGTCCCCAAATGTGCTGCACATGGAAAACACAGTTTTTATGTGAATTATCTTGATATATGAATTAGGTTGCATATATTTGTGCATGTAAAAAATCATGTGGAAATGTTCGGCTGTGTTTTGCCTGGGCAATAACATTACATTCCCTTTTGGTTTCTGTGGCATCTGTATTTTCCCCTCTATTTAGGATAAAACTGATTTTTTAAAAGAGGTTATATGAGCCTGCTAACCAGGAAAGAGAGGGAGATTGGGAGAGATTGAGATGTTTTGAACAATTGAGAACACACTGTTTTCCAGGTGAGTTGTCAGCTTTGTTAATATAATTATGACCTTTCTGTTTGTTTGTTTGCTGTTCACGGTCTTTGCTTTTCAACAGCTGAGTGAAACTAAGCTAGATACTCAACTAGGTAACACTAAAGATTAATCTTAAATTGCACATCAGTGAGAGGTATTCTGACTCTTCATGTTCATTCATTTGTAATAATCATTGCCTAATTTCACTCAAAAAAGAAAGATGTGCCTAGCCTAGCATGCTTCTTACCATCATCTACCATCAAAATCCCACATTGTGAAGATATACGAAATGGTCCTAGGCAATTATGTAGTTACATATAGTGGGTAGAAATTCCTTCTTGTCTCATGCTGGAATTTGGCCTATGACCTGAGGCATGAAATTTAATTAACCTTTTCCCCAATCTAAGCTTGCCTAGCTACAAATGTTATTAATGGCCATAAAATTATCCAGACATAGTACTTGACTCTTGAACTCCTGCAATGGTGACTTCCAGAGGATCCATATATAATATTGCTAATGGGAAAAAGCGTTGATTTTTTTTCTCTCATTGTGCATGATGGATTTGTACTCATCTGTGAATCCTATCCTGATGGTCCAGAAATCTAGATACCCTATCTCCGCAATATTTCTTTCAGTCCCATAGAAATAGATCTTGGGGCACATTAATGGCATTATTTCTCTTTCCCACCTCCTGGAGCTACGTATATAACTCAGTGCTTCGGTTGTGGCAGGAGCACTGATCAATCAACAGAAGGCAGCAGCTACAGGAGAGCTAAGAACTATGTTAGAGCGTTAAAGGAATTGAACAATAAAGCCAGGAACTGAAGCCAAAGAAGACCCAAATCTCCCTCTCCCTCCTATTTAAGTCCCCCTCTTATGTAAGTCCCCGTCCTTTATCAGGCCCGGATTTAATAATCCTTCACTGCTGAGGCTGATAGCTCTAAATCAGATGGGCAGGGAGCTCCCAAATTTCTCTGTGGTTCTCAGAGCCCCTCTCTACCACGCTTGCCAAAAATGGGTGGAACCGTTTTCTGCCATTTCAAGGCTAAAAACTGTAGTAAACATTTCCAAATAGGCTTAACATGGTTTTAGAAAAAGAAAAAAGAAAACCCTCAAACTGCTCCCCAAAATCAGGAAAAGAAAGAAAAGAAAGAAAGAAAGAAAGAAAGAAAGAAAGAAAGAAAGAAAGAAAGAAAGAAAGAAAGAAAGAAAGATAGATAGATCTGGCCCTGGCATTGCATGAACCAGCTCCACCCAACTGCTATTGTCACCCTGCTTACGGCAGCCCTCAATCACCAGAATCTTGAGCATCCCTGCTCTGAATCACAGCTCTGCGGTGTATTGCATAGAACGTCCCGTTGCTTTCTTGACATACTTGCCATATGCTGGGCTGCATTTCATGAAGCTGCATCGCTCATCCACATGTTTTCATCATTTTATTTCTGGCCCAAATTGACATTTCATGTCCCCTTAAAAATCACGTAGGATTCCGATTCACTAGGATAAAGCAGGTACTCCAAGTTCTGTAGCTCTTTAGCACTAATTTCTTCCCCTAGTCCCAGTACATTTCAAGTGAGAATTCTGCAGAAAGTGTGTTAGGGGACCAAATACAATTAGGAAAACATACAAGTGGTGAGAATCAACAATATTTCTCTATTTAAATAGATATGCCTACCAGGTTTATTACACCAGAATCTACAGCCAGCCACAGCAATGTCATGATGCAAATGCCGCCTTTATGTAGTTGTGTACAGAAAGTTGCAGTATTTGTGCCATGATATCATGACACACATTTCATCACTTACTTCCCTTGCTTCTCCTTGGATGCCCATGGCTGACTATGAGATCTGTGGTCCCAGGTTAATGATATTGTTAAGCTAAACTTATAAAATGCTTTCCATATAAACTCTCTGTTGTGAGAATGCATTAATTAGACAATGCTGGTACTGAATTCAGAATGTGCTCCCTATGCAAAGAAGGTTTTTTCTAGTCCTAGAAACCTTTGGAGTAGACGATTCCCATTGACAGACTGAGGGAGGAAGTCATGTTTTTTTCATTTTCCTTAGCTCCTGCTCCACCAGGTAGTCCCTGAAGTGTTGGGGGGTTTGGGGGTAAGTGGAGGAGATGCTTCAAAGCCAGGAGTAGGACAAAATCATTAAATACTTAGCACAGCATTAGCAAGCTCTCAGCACGTTTGGACTCCCCTAGTCCCAAAGCAACAAAGAGAAGGAGTGCCTTGAGTAAATATTGACCATTTCATACAAAATACATACATTTTAGATTTACATGTTAATGTTTAAAGTATATGAATATAGTGCATGTGATGAACACATTTTAAAACATGTGTATCATACAAAGTGTGACATAGTTCCTCCCTATATGTATATTTATAGACTGGGGCATGATCTTCTTACTGCACAGAATATGAAACAATACTAACAGTGTCAAGGTTTTTATATTTGATTAGATCCTAATTGTTGAGCAATAAGTAAAAAATTAACTTTTTATTTCCATTGTTCAGCAATGTGTGTATGTGTGTATGTTTCCTGGTTAACAAGCTCATGTAGCCTCTTCTAAACATTTTTTTTCTATTTTAGTTTTATCCTAAATATGATGGTGGGGAGGGGAATATAGTCTGTGTGGAAAGTAACAATAATTTTAAAAGGCAAAAGGACATTAAGATTCTAGAAAATGAACTGCTTTTCCCCCAGGAAATTAAGTTGTGAAGAACTTGCACCTTATAATAAAGTTTATTCTCAAGTTATTAAGCATTTGTTTTAGGATTAAGCTACACAATACACTTTTCCACATTTTAAAAATAGCAGGTGGAAGATGTTACACAATTCTTCTGAATGGATGCATTTCTGGACCAAATCCCTACCAAGAATGAAACATATAGAGGGATAATTAACTTTTTTTCTTTGAAAATGCCCTCATCCCAAGCAGCAAAAATACATACTTTCTATAAGGAACGGGATAGTAGATAGCAGCTTCAATTTTCAATAAGAAAAAGCACAAGGAGTTAATGTGAAATCTATTATATCCCTGCACTACAATTTAACCTGGATTGCAGTTTCTTTTTATTAATCATTTCAATAGTTTGCACATCATTTAAAACACATGTATAGATTGGTCTTTAGCTAATATTTGTTGGACAGCAGCTGATTATGAAGCAGTTCTCCAAGAATAAGTGAAAATAAAGATCATAGTCAAGAACTATTTATTTCTTTAAAAAATAGCAAATATGCTTATAGTAATACACACTAATAGATGCTGATATATGTAAAAAATGCAGATGCATATAGTAAAATTTCTCCACAGTGCTCCATTTTATACACAGAAATAAATATAGTGAAGTATGAGATGAAGATTTATGTTTTTAAGGACATGCTCCAAGGTATATACATAATACACATGTTTTTACAAACATATATCTTCTCCTCTGATTTTACTATGTTGCAATGATAAAAACCCCAAATATGACCAATCTTCACGTTCAACTTGTATAGACCATAAAATGATAAAATTTCATTCATTTTGGGATATACACAGTAAAAACTAATGTAGGAGTGGCCAAACAATTTATTTGGCCTGAATTTTTATATCAAACTCATACTTCCTTATATCAGAATTTTGCAATATAATTTCCCACTCAAAATGCTTATAAAATGTGATACACACCCACCCACACACACACACACACACACACACACAGAGCAATCTATTCTCCCAAAAGTTTCTGTTCCACTGACTGACTGTCCATTGTCAACATAGACATAGCAATGACATTCACTGCATTTTCAATTCTTCACACAATTAGCAGGTATAGTTTCCTTTACAAAGTAGGAGTTTGGATTAGATTTGACTAAACCTGAATCAGAGAAAAAGTGAGATGATTTGGACTGAATCGGCTATCACCAGACAAAAATCAGGACTGCCTTGAATTGGCTCTGGTCCAGTTCAGAACTTCAGCCAAGTTCCAGTCCTGACCTTCATCTGCCACTAAAAGAGGCAGTGCTCTTTATCCAAGTGATCAGGCCACCAGAACCACCTAAATCATAGTGCCTTGAGGGTGAAATATTGATTCATTTATAATGATTTGCTTCAGTGTAAATGGATATTACTGCACTCTAGTTAGTAGCTGATTGCTTTCTAAAATTTTATTAATTACTTGATAATTTATTCAGTTCCTTGTAAGCAAATAATTTACTAGAAGTTTAACTAACAAGCGAATTTTTAAATGTCCATCCCAGCATCCCCCAAAATCAGTCCTACTGCATTCAGATTTCTGAAGGAGAATCATTTATCTTTACAACATTCTTCCCTTTTCACAAAATACTTTTGCCAGTGTCTCTGAAGTATGATATGTAATTCACCACTGAAATACTTCTATTTCTACAAATTTCATCAAAGTTTATCCTGAAAAAAATCAAAACTTAAACAAAAGTTACTGCTTGAAAACTCTATTTCTATGAAATTTTAGGGAAATTTGATAGGCTTAGACCCAGGTCCAGAAAGCATGCAGGCCCTGAACTGTTCCAAATTAAATCAGGGATATCCAAGGCAGGCTTCCAGATCCGAGTCTATGCACCCCCGTCCTATAAAGTATAGGTATAAAGGTATATATACATAACATATAACTTAGTCAACATTTCAGAATGTTGTTACCCATAG